TAAGGTTTGTGTCATGAATGGACTGAGGACACAATTTTTTCATCTTCTTATTCAAATCTTTTATTTACTGGTTCTATAGTTCTTTCTTATCTGCAAAAGACTGATACACTATTGTACCAAACTGACATCTTAGGTAATTACAGACTCCAGAAGGGACTCCAGAAAGAGGTACAGAGAGAAGGAGGACACATTAAGTAGGACATACTATCACAATTAATATTTTTCTAAAGTCAGCTTATTCTCATCAAAGTAGCTCAGATACCAAAACACAATTAAAATTTGTTAGAAGATATAATGGACTTTTTACTGAGCAGGGACATGAGGTGGTTTTAAAAATCAAGGTAGAGAGAAGCCTGCCAGGTGTATCAAAGGTCCAGGAAAGGTCTTTAGTATGTTCAAGGAGATAACCTTTTACAAGGACAGGTGTTTGTGCATGGGGTGGGGTGGGGGGTTATGGGACTTCTCAACTGAAGTACTCTTTTTTTTTTAAGTGCTTAAAATTTTCATCTCTCGGCCCTTGGTAGGGAATGTTTGAAAAAGTGCAGTGTTTGATTTAAATGCAAGGATTACTTTGGATACTTTTGTACATCAAAATCATCCTGTAAGTTCAAGTTCTCAGAAAAACACACACATTTATTGTCTTTCCTTTGGGCCTTTATATGTCTATTTTCAAACAGTTTGGCACCAGATTTTAGTTTCTTATTCTTCTTCAGTGTTCAAATCACTGTGTTTCATTGCTCTTCAGAAGCCAAACAGAAAGAAAAAACATTGCCAAAGGTTGCAGTCTCTCTGCTAACATTTACTTTCTAACATTAACATTCTTTTCTATTTCTCTATAGAGTTTTCCTAAGAATTATAGGGCATTGAAAGGAAATCTGCTATGAGAAATGGCAGAGAGTTCATTCCATATTTACTCTCAGGCAATGAAAAGAGCTTCTGGCATTTTATTCAGCCTTGTCTGTGATTACCTTTTTGTGTCCTCTTCATATTGTTTCATTCCCTTTACCACCCATTAGTCATATTACAGACTCCTTTGTGCTACTCTGGTGTCTGTGATTCTACCTCATTAAACATACCAGTGCTTCATCTCTTTTCGTTGGCTATAGGCCCTACCCACTGTTTCTACCAACTGAAATTTTCTTTCTTTTCATTTTGCCAGCCTCCTAGTAAATTGCATTGTTTCTGTATTAACTCCTGTATGGTTCCACATGAATGTCAAGAATGGTGAAGGCTCTTAGATTTTACTCTACTTACAAGCTAGCAAGTTTTCCTGACACAACTAAATGGATGTTCATGGTGTTTTACAGTTATTACTATTGCTCATACTATTTATTTACTTGAATAATTTCATTTGACATTGATCACTGGGTTAGGGCCTTGGATTCTGAGCTCCAAACAGGAATGTTCAACATGTACCAGGCTTTGCTTCAGCTTCCCTTCCTTTGGTTAATTTGGAGAGGAATGTCAACATGATAGTGTATTGTTATCTTGATACATCAGCCCCCTTCCTGGCACTTGGGTGGTCTGTCTTGCTGAAATGTTTGCTATTCACCTCATTACTGTTAGGATTATTAGAACCAATAAATGTTCTTTTTTATTCTCTCTGAAACCATGTCCTAAATCTTTTTGTTTTTGTCATTGTATTTGTAGGAACCCATACTGGTAATGTATAGAGCCAGGCATATGTGGAATAACATTTTATTCTCTACTTAGATGGCCCACAACTTTAAATTTTAATGCAATGATTACTTTGGATACCTTTACATCAAAGTTATCCCATAAGTTGCCGGGCTGGGTGTGGCTCAGCAGTTGAACATTGACCTAGGGTCCAGGAGATCACGGTTCAATTCCCGGTCAGGGCACATGCCCAGATTGCGGGTTTGATCCCGAGTAGGGGCGTGCGGGAGGCAGCCGATCAATGACAACTCTCTCATCATTAATGTTTCTGTCTCTCTCTCCCTCCCTCTCCCTTCCGCTCTCTGAAATCAATAAAGATATATTTAAAAAAAAATTATCCCATAAGTTCAAGTTCTCAGAGAAAAGCATGAATTTGTTTTTTCTTTGGGCCTGTATATTTCTATTTTCAAACAGTTTAAAAACTGCCATGGTAATAAATCTAATCCTGGGCTTTCAGATCTTGTCCGCAGGGTATAACAAAGCTGTGTGGTCTGTGAATGTGACATCTGAATTGTGTTTATTTTATTAGATATTATTTCTACCAGTGATGTATTAATTATTGCAGTACTCCAAACTACTTCCAGCTTATATGTTGGAGCTAAGCGTTATAGGTACTATATTATGCTCCTTTTACGTCTGAGCAAAGAAAGGCACAAGGTTAGCTAACTTGCCTAAGGTCATAAAGTTAGTGAGAGAACTAGATTTAAACCTGCAGCTGTCTGCCTCTACAATCCGTGCTCATGTCTGCTCCACTTTACTGCCTCTTCACATTATTGCCATGAGAGTTATAAGTAGTAGTTGTTATGGATTCTCACTAAAGGCAATGAAGTTAGAGTTTATGGAGGAGTAAATTTCAGCTCATTCTTGAAATAGGGGATAGATTTGAATATGTGAAGAGGAGAGAGCATTTTAGGAGGAACAGAATGAGCAAAGGTTCACAGATGGGACTAGAAAGAACATGTTCAGGGTATAAAGAAGAGTTTGAATTAGCTCTATAGAAATAACTAATGAACTTGTTTAGTATTGAAGATTTCTCCATTAGAACTTTGCTGAAAATAAAAACACCTTAGTTTGTCTTAGAGTTTCTTAGATTGAGTTCTTTTAAAAAATACTACTAATCTTATCTCATTCATTGAGAATACTGATTCAGGTTTAGATGAAAGTACATTAGTAAGGAAATAATAGGATAACATTCTCAGTCTTTTTGAAAAAATCCTCACTGGAGGGTGTTTTTATTGATTTTAGAGAGAGAGGGAGCAAGGGAGAGAGGATGGGAGAGAGAGAGAGGGAGAGAGGGAAAGAGAGAGAGAGGAAAAGGGAGAGATAAATTGGTGTGAGAGAGAAACATCAATTGGCTGCCTTCTGTATGTGCCCTGACCAGGGATCAAACCTGTGACCTGGGTATGTGCCCTGACTGGGAATTGAACCCTCGACCCTTCGGTCCATGGGACGACACTCCAACCAACTGGGCCACACTGGCCAGAGCAAAATTCTCACTCTTTATTGTAGAGTTTTAAAATTTGTTCTTTTTTTGAGCTAGTTTTGCCCCCACCAGTGTGATTTGGTTAGGTAACTTGTGATGAAATTGGTCCAGCAGGAGGAATTTGGATGTATGTTGAAATTCTGCCATATTTTGGAAGAAAAATGCTATTTTAAGCATTCTGGTAATTTTTGGTGGAGTTTCATGAAGTTGCCATTGGCAGGTTTACAGACCATTAAACATGGCTTCCTTATTTACACACACACACACACACACACACACGCGCGCGCGCACACACACGTGAAAACATGTAACTGTCGAAGAAATGTCATGCTTACATAGCTAATAAAAATAAGAATATTGATTGACATGGGAAGTTGATTCCTTTCTGAAGTTTGGGGCTGAAGAAATCTGAACTCTTCTTTAGGTTTTGTAACTAACTCACTGCTCAAGCTTGACATCCATAAAATAATCACTCACTCATGAATATTCATTTGGTAAATTTACAAATTAGAAGAAGGGGAAAGAGCAGGGAGATAAGCTGACATCAAAGGTTAAGAACTGAAGAAATGTGGGAGGTATAGAGTTGGTATAGAGTTAACCAAGTGGGAATATCTTTGTGGAATCCTTTATTTTGACGTGTGAATAAGCTGCTTGTGATGACATAAAATTTTTTGAAGGTTAATTTCTTTTTCTAGAATAGAGAAACTCCTTTATAACTTTTTAAGACTGAATTTGCAGTTATCTAGTAACTTTTAAGAAATCATCAAAAATTATATTAAAAGTTATTTTTTCCAAGCTAAACTTTTATCAGAATAATGCCATTTTATATAGTACCTTATCTATTGAGAAGTATAATTTGTATCATAGATTTCTCTGAGCTTTTTAAACCTAGGTTCATAGCTATTTTGGAATAGGGGCTATTCCTAAAATGTGTACAAGGTTTTGTTTTATCTGCAGTTGGTTTTAACTGTAATTTTTTTGTGCATGTTTGCAAAGTGCCATGTTAATACAGTGTCAAACTATGCTGAAAATGCTTTCCCCCTGATAAAATGAGTATTAATAATAGCACAAACCAAATCCTAACTGACCTTTGAATGTATCTGAATTAAAAGGTTAAAGCCAAGGACTTCTAAATATTTTCATCTAAAGAACTGTTTGAAATATACCTAAAGAAAATGTTTATTTTCTAAATCTTTTAATTTGGGAAAGAGATTCAAATTGTGATTGGTTTTAGCCCACTGATCAGGATGACCCTGTAAACTTGCTCATCTGGGATTTATTTATCATTTGCTCACCTTAGACTCTCAAGTCTCCATTAATTTCTTCCTGGGAAGAACATATTTAACTTATGATTCCAGCTGTAGCACAATCTTGTCTGACCTATATAAGTTACCAGAGTTAACCACCTGAGCCTTAGGCTTTTGCAGCTATACAATGGGATTATTTACTATTTAGCATATTGTCATTTCCAGCATTTGCTCTTGGTGCCATGTAGATAAGCATAGGCCCTGTCTTTGGAGATTAGCAATCCAGAAAAACTAATGATATACAGACCCACACACATTGGGTTGTAAGATCAAAGAGCTAGAAGATGAAGAGTACTGGAAAGGAAACTGAGAATGCCAGTTTTATAATTATGAATGATACATAGTTTCATGTAATTTACTGTATATACTTCCCAATTTAAATAAACTAAGTAGAATAGAAAGTGAATTTGAACTAGAATTAATTTTATCCATCCTTACAAAGTTGTCATGAACATTAAGAAAAAGAGAGTTCATTTTATTAAGAAAGCATTAAATCTTAGTTAATAATGTCTCTTTCCTTCTCTCCTTTGCAGAATTTCTATGTAACTGCTCTGTGGTTGGAAGCCTGGATGTGAATCACTGTAACCAGACCACAGGGCAGTGTGAGTGTCAGGGGATTCACTGTGAAACCTGCAAGGAGGGCTTTTACCTGAATCACACTTCTGGGATCTGTCTGCCATGTGAATGTAGTCCACATGGAGCCCTCAGCATACTCTGCAACAGGTAAGCAGCAGAGGGTAGAAGTGAAGTTCATTTTATTCGATCAAGAAAATAGCCCAGTCAGCATGGCTCAGTGGTTGAGTGTCAACCTATAAACCAGGAGGTCTTGGTTTGATTCTAGGTCAGGGCACATGCCCAGATTGCAGGCTCTATCCCTAGTAGGGGGCGTGCAGGAGGCAGCCAATCAATGACTTTCTCATCATTGATGTTTCTATCTCTCTCTCCCTCTCCCTTCCTTTCTCTAAAATCAGTAAAAACATATAAAAAGTTTGTGGTTTTTTTTTAAAAAGAATCTTTCCTCTTATTCTTACAAAAAAAGAAAAAGAAAAAAAATAATGCTTCTGCTCTCAAGGACCAGCCTGATTTAAATGAAGAGAGAGAGGGGCCATAGACTTACAAAATATTTCATATTCTTTTATTACCTCTTTATATATATATATACACATATATATATGTGTGTGTATGTGTGTGTGTGTTTGCTTCTAACTTACAGATTTAGTTCAGAAGCACCTGGGTCACCAATTTTGCTCTGTGATAGTTTCTCTAAATTTCATGGGAAAAAAAATTTTAGAGACTGCTTTCTGGAAGTAATAAGTTCCAGGCATTTCCAGTGGAAACAATCCTGTTTATTAACATACCATTGGAGTTTCCGGAAGTGTATTCTTTGATTTATTTTTTCTCTTATCAAAATTCTAGAGCTGTTTCTTTTGCACGTCTAAGGCTTAAACTTGATAATATATTAATTTCTTTAACTAGTTGGAAAAAGAATGGTTTTAGTCTATGTACCAGCACATTTTGGGAGACCAAAACTAGATTAAGCAGGAATTGTCTGAATTACCTTTAAAATAGTATGTTATTTGGAGGGGACTTAATCTAGTAGAACAAATCTGAGGATATGCCTTCTTCTACACTGAAAATAATTATTCTTTACCTTGTATGAGAAATGTAGCTTTTTGTGGACCTCAAGTCAAAAAGCTGAAGAGACAATGTTATGTAAAGAAAAGAACACAAGCTTTAGAATCAGTCTAACCTGGGTATGGATCCAAGATCTTTTGCCACTTAGGAGCTGTGTGTTTTTGGCAAGTTATTTCACTTCTCTGAGCCTCAGTTTGTTCTCAAGGTTGTTGTGAAGGTTAAATGAGTAGAATGTATATAAAATTCCTAGCACACATCACTTAATAAATTCTGGTTTGTTTTAATTTCAAAGGAATATTATAGGCTTAATGAGGGAATATTTTAAAAGAACTTTTAGCTCCATGACAGAAAAGGTTCTTTATATTTAGCAGTAGATATTTTGTATGCTTTCTAAATTATAGTGTATTATTGTACAATATTGTATCGTATTATACTTCAAAGTATAGAAGTGAACTTAAGAAGTTTTTAATTTCTTTTCTTTTTTTTTTTAAATATATCTTTATTGATTTCAGAGAGAGGAAAGAAGAGGGAGAGAGAGAGATAGAAACATCAATGATGAGAGAGTCATTGATTGGCTGCAGCCCGCAACCCGGGCATGTGCCCTGACCAGGAACCGAACCCCGATCGCCTGGATCCTAGGTCGACGCTCAACCGCTGAGCCACGCCCGGCCGGGCAAGAAGTTTTTAATTTCAAGTGCAGCAATAACTTGATGATGCTTGTTATGTTACATAGTTATTTGCTTTAAGCCTCACAACAACATTTATGTAATGTTATTAAATCACAAAAATTGAATTCCAAATTAGGTCTTCCAGTTCCAAGTGCAATGTTCATAATAAGAAAACTGTTAATTACTTTGCTGAGGTTGAGAATATAGTAGTTGCTCACCATTGCTTCCTTTACTCCCCCAAAACACGCCTACACAAGCTATATTCAGAAGGTTCACATTTCCTACCATTTTAAAGATGAGATTTGTTCATTCTGGTATGCTCACTGCTGCTGTCAGAATGAGATTCCGCAAACACATTTGCCTTGAGTACTTCTGGAGAGATAGAAAGTGTTTACTTCTAAGCCTGTACTTAAAAGAAGTCTTCAGAAGGAAGACACAGGAGCTCTAAGTCTAGCTCTAAGCACTGCATTCCTTACTGCCAGAAAGGAAGTTAAGTTGACCTGAGACTAGAGGAACAGAAAGGGAAGTTGCAGGATTATGTACTTTGGCAAGAACATATGGTGAACTATGAGGAAACACCTCTCTATGTTGTGTTATGCTATAAATTATATGGTATAGGTGAGTTGAGGGAGAGAGGAAATTATAGGCAAGTAGTGTGAGTGTAGTAGAAAGTTAGTAGAATCTGTAATTAGTAGATTTTGATCCCATTCTTGGTTTAGCCACTTACTAGGTATACAATCGTGATTAAGATGTTTGACCTCTCTGAGCCTTGGTGTTTCCAACTGTAGAATAAGATTAATGTATGTAACATAAAGGATTTTTATGAGAAGTGTGTGTATGTGTGCGCGCGCACCTGCTTACATTGTGACTGCACATAGCTGCAGCTCTGGAACTTCCTAGGAGCTGAATCTGTTTTTTAAAAAGTGAGGAATAGAATTGATGACTCACAAATGAGGAAGATTAAGTCAACCGGACATGGCTGTGAGTAGAGATTGAGGTATTTGTTTTTGTTGGTAGATTAAAGAAGAAATCGTTCATTCTAATGGAAAAAAATAGATTTTCTTTCATTTTCATAAAGAAACCTATTAAAATTAGGCATTCTATATTTTATAATAATAATAGCTAAAAATAATTGAATACATGCTAGGCGCTGTCCCAAGCCCTTTGCATGTAGTAGTAATTCATTTACTTCTCACAGAAACCATATCAGGACACTGTTATTATTATTCTCATTTGCACAGGGAAAAAAATTGTAAGTTAGGTAATTTGCCTAATTTACAAGGTAACAGTCAGTAAGCAAAAGAGCTGGGGTTGAAATATTTGCAATCTAGATCTAGTCTATGTATTCCTGTTCACTGTGCGCTGGTACAGCCTTTTTCAAAACCTCAGATACTGAGCAAAGGGGGTACTGTAAGAAACTTTGATGCTGTGGTGCAGACTATTTGCTATTTTATAGGAATTTCTTATGGTTCCATTCTGGTATCAGACCCTGACTGCAGTGTGGTGCTCACGCTACCTGAATAACTTCTTGGTAAGGACCCATCCACTTTAGCTTAGTAGAAATTGAGAACATCAGAGGATCAGCCCTTCAGTGAATAATTATCAATTACAATATCTGTTATATTGCCATCTCTTTGTGTTGAATCCGTTTTAATTTTTAAAAAGTGAGGAATAGGATTGATGACTCACAAAAGAGGCCTAAACCTTTGGAGTGAAAACAATATTACTTTTTCTCTTGTGAAGAAACGTATAATTTATGCAAGACTATAAAGGACATAAAACGACTGAAAACCAATACAAAACAGTGCTAAATTTTTAAACTGAGTGGTTTAGAGTGGGAAAAGAATAGGACAGGAATAAGCTGAAGTAATAAGGAAAGGCTTTTGAGAGAAGGTGGGAACTAAGATGTGCTTTCCAAGTTGGGATTTGGGAAGTTAGACGAGAAGACGACCATATCAGGAGGAAAAAAACATGCGAATTCAAGTGAATTTTATAAGATTATACAGTAAGATGAAAAAATCTGATCTAACACCTACTCAAATTCTTTTCTGTTTTAAACTCTCTGTTCTCTTTTTAAAAATAAATAAAAGTAGGAAAGTGGATTCAGTTCTGAACTGATTCCCTCATACATCTAATACCCATGGAAAGAACAGTTGGCTTTTTAAAAATTCATTTTCATGTTCTTTATGCCCATATATTTCAGTGGGAGTTGTCCCAGTGAGCGTAGAATTTGGCTATGGGAGCCAGATGTGGGTTGAGCAATGTCTTTGTGTGTAAAAACAAAGTCCTTTATGTACTGACAGATGGTCACCCCCTCATATCACCATTGGTGTTCCAACCTGTTTAACTGGGACAGAGTTGGTTTATAATATCTTAACTTTTCATTTTTGCTTTTGGAATTCATTTATAATCTTTTCCTGATTTACATTTGGATATATGTTTAATAAATGAATGAAGAAATCAGATAGCATTTTATCTCAAAGAGCAGTATGCCTAGTGAGAGCCTGAGTCTCTTAATATAGCTCTTAAAATATTTAGGGTCTGACTTTATTTCTCAGCAATTATATACATATATATATTTGAGATTTTAAAAAAATGTATTCATAGTACATTAGTATACAAGATGTATCATTTTAGACTGTCTGTAAGGTAGAAAGAAGTTCTGTAGTAGTGTAATATCCTTTTTATAAAATCTGTGGTTGTTGCTATAAGTGTATTTTGAAATATTTACTACTTTAATTATAGGACTGTGCCCCAGGACAGAGGGCAAAATTTTACTCATGAAGTAAACTTATACTGCAATAAATGTCAAGTAAAAAGATGACAAAACCTCCAAGGCTCACATTCATATGGGACTCTGAAAATCATCTCTTGTGTAATAATCTGGAGTAACAGCTGCTCATGTAAACTCTTATTTATTACTTTGCCTGTAATTCTGAGAGATCAAGAGATACAACTGATCACTAGGTACAATTAATAATTGCTGAAAGCTTTGTCATTTTATTCACTCGTTCCACTTAATAAAGACATTGCATTTGCTAATTATGTGTCCAAAGACATTATCACTGTTCTCAAGAAACTTACTGTCAGAAGAAAGATAGAAATTCGAACAAAATATGAATATTCATAAAGTATATAGACAACTCAGGGAGATCTTGAGAGAGGAAGTTGCATCTAAATTTATTTATTTATTATTATATTTTAAATATATCTTTATTGATTTCAGAGAGAGGAAAGGAGAGGGAGAGAGAGAGACAGAAACATCAATGATGAGAGAGTCATTGATCGAGCCCACAACCCGGGCATGTGCCCTGACCAGGAATCGAACCCCGATCGCCTGGATCCCAGGTTGACGCTCAACCTCTGAGCCATGCCTGGCCAGGCAGTTGCATCTAAATTTAGACTTGAAGGATGAGTAGA